AGTCGACACAAGTCCTTACTTATAAAACTAGGTTTATTCTTTCTGAATATAACCTTACCGATACACTTATTTCAACAGTCGCTCTTTTACAACGTTTTAACAACGAACGTTAACTTCAACAATGCTTCCTGACTGCAGTTCAACTAGTCACGACCTACACACATATTGTCACGTCACGCCGTGACCATCTTATATATATCAGACCACCCCCCAATCTAGTAAATGCTAGAGCACTCCCGAAGGAACGGGATAGTTCTAGAAAGCAGGTGGCGTGATACTAGTCACGTGACCTCGCTGACGCAACAATATATACACACACACACACGTTGTTTAAAAAATTCAAAGCCAAACACTTAAAATCAATATACCCACATATTGTACCAAACGACAACAAAAGTAAAAACTGGTTTAAGATAAGCTACATTGGTAAACTTTATAACCAAATATAAAACACACTGAACAAAGAAATCTACAGACCAGCCTTATTTTGTACAAACAATCTAGGCAAAATGTTGTGCAACAACAAAGACAAAATCGAAAAGTACAGTAACAGTGGTGTTTACCAATTAATGTGTCAAGACTGCAATGGTGTATACATAGGTTAAACAGAATGTTTCACAGAAACGAGAATTAACGGAAATTGTAGAAGCTGGAAATGAAGAAAAATGGATTCAACCATTGCATCCTACCTTATTGAATCTAAACATCCGGGAAATAACACTTTTACATATATGTGATAAAGGTAAAAAACTAGACAGCCTGAAATTTTTGGAGATAAAGAGGAGTCTAAAAACAAATCCAGAAAAAGTTGTAAATGAACAAACCAACTTAAGCTCCTCCCCACTTGTCTCAATGTGAATGTCATGGTTACTTCCGGTTCTTTGTTTAAACTATATATAATCCTGTTTGCAAATCATTTCAGTATTCCCGTTTCCCCTACATCTAATTCTAGACATTGGATTTATAGATCCCTCAACGCCCTGACGAACCATAAGTCCTACAAAGGCCATTTATTTCAAGAACTTCATGTCTGCCAAAATATCAAACATCAAGTTCATCCCTTCACCTGAGCACCCCTGTATAGGTTATTCATGGACCCAGTCAATCATCAAAAAACCATTTCTACAAACAGTTTGAAGTTAGCTATTACATAAAAACCCAAATAAGTGATCTCAGAATAAAACAATCCCACAAAAAACGCAACCTGTGGCTCTCAAAAAATTAAAGTGATAAAAAAAAACAAGCCCAATTCCGCTTACTATAAACAGACTTGGCAATACTGCCAGTAAAGGCTACTGCCCATGGAGCCACATAAATACATACCCTGCTGGTTATATTAGTGAATAATAAATTGCATTCTTTGTGCTTACACATTCGGGTTCAGTTCTTTCTTTCAGGAACCTAGTCAGGTTCAGAGAATTCAGAATTACTTTGTAATATATTTACTAGTTGAACGTCCAGTTATTCTGTTGACCTGTCTTATTCACTCCAAAGAGAATGCTACATTAAAATGAAATTAGATAGCCAACTTCCAACTTTGGGCTTTTCTAATCAGAGAGTTGAATTTGAACATCTATATTATAATACACCCATGCTCCCACCCCAAAGTGTGGAGTGTGATCTTATAGCAACAGGATGCAAACCATAGAACCTCAAATCCACAGTCCGTCACACTAACTATACCCTACCTATCCAAATTTGTTTACTTTAAACCAGATGTATTACCTATTAATATACTAATATGCTCAATATTCTTGCCACAAATGTTTTGTATTAATTACAAATGTAGACTATGTTGCGTCGGCGAGGTCACGTGACTAGTATCACGCCACGTCCTTCTCTCGAAACTTCGTGAATTATCGGGAGACTACTAGATTGGGGGGGGGGGAGTAGTCTGGTATATATAAGATGGTCACAACGTGAAGAGGTAAGGAGTAATTGAACTGCAGTCA